TGTAATCCATAGCACACTCGAATTTTATCATCTTATTATGAAAGTGTTCGATAATAAAGATGCTAAGATTTGCAAAGTAATCATAACTAAACCTACGCAATAAGTGAACCACAACATTCACAATTATATAAAAGAAATCAAGCATATTAGATATGGGTGTGATTTCTATAAATGTTTTGTAAAGAGTATTATTCTTAAAACATTTGGGAAAACCATTCGTCATAAGAAGAAACATTGAAAAGTTTCATAGTGGAATAAATTTGATTATTATTATTATTTCATGTCTATTTAATTGTGGTTTAGAATTAAATAATGAGTCTATTCGATTTGATGATATTCAAAATAGGGTATCAAGACAATGTTTTGGATAAAGAAACACCTATTAAGTGAACGTTGAATGTCATATCGAAATTGTCCCTAATCGAGGTCATTTAAAAGTGGGGCGAATAATGATCGTGTGAGATTAGTGTGTAGTATGATTTATAGCCCCGTTTCTTGTGCTATAAGGACATGAATGTCATAAATCATTTGTACGGGTATTGGTTTGGAACTATACCAGATTGACTTATGAGAATACTTTAAGAGATTTAAAAATCGTCATAAATATATTACTCATTATGGCTGTCGTTACCTCTTTCCTCAACCATGAGTATTGTAACTTGTTTGAGTATTAGTCTGTTTGATGTTGTCAAACGTCTGCCGTAAAAGGGGATTATAAACACAACACTCATGCGACTAGGCCTCTTTGTAAGGGAAGCTTAATAATGCAAGACTGGGAATGTCCTCCTATTAATGACAGGAAATATGTCTTTGTTTTTTTACAAGGCCTCTCAAAGAGCGAGACTGTGAAAATGCTTGGTCGTGCTAAGATGGATTTAAGAAATCATCTGTACTTGACAGTCGAACTCAAAATTTTGAGAAATACTTCTGGATGTAATAAGGATGACGGTGAATCTTACCTTATGGTTCATGAAGAGGCATTAAATGACATAGGAAAAGGGCAATACACATACAGCACACTTGTCCGGAGATCGAAAGGAATGATGTCCTTCGAACAAGTGTATTACTCCGATAGAGGGTTCGAAATTAATTAGGAAAGCTAATTATTCAGTGAAGTCAAGTGATCAGAATGCCTAGCTGGAGGCTGCTTCCGAACAGTAAGATTAATATAATTAATCTTACATCATGCTCTTGATTGAACCACGCGGGTCACACCTAATCGTGTAACTGAACTAAAGGCGTCGAATTAATCCAAAGGATTAAATATGTCAATAAGGATTTTATGAATTCAGTCGTCGGATTCCGAGCTTAGAGCGTCGAAGCCGAGCGTCAAGCGTCGAGTCGATTCTAGGAATCGATGAAGACAAGAAAATAAACGACACGAAGGTCTTGGCAATAGCCCCGCATCGGCCTAGCATGGTGTTATCCATGCGGGGGCTAGGCCGAGGATAGCAAGTCAATGCTACAAGCATGGCAGCTAGGCCGGCTGGTCGTGCGCGCAGCATAGCAGCCAGCCCAGCACACCATGCTGGGCATGGCTAGCAGTGCCAGGCTGGGTGTGCGTGCCAGCCCGCACGCTAGTAGCTAGCTAGCAGGTCGGTACGTACACCATCCCACCAGCCAACTATGCACGCTGGGCTAGCGATAGCTAGCCGCCCTAGCTAAGGGGCCAGGCCGCCAGCGTGGCCTGCCTTGGAGCACAAGGTTGGTGGGCTGCTAGCTGGCCGATGCTCATTAAGGGGCGGGTGGCCTTGTTAAGCAAGGGAGAGGAAGTGGTCCTCCTCCCTTGTGGTCCTTACGTACTCCCTCCTTGGTTTTATGCCAAGTGTCGTTTATTTTAGAATTAAATTAAATACCACTTTTCTCACTTTATCACTTCTACCATATGGAAATATTATTGTGGGAATTGGGATGCTTTGCCTATAAATACCAACCTTAGGAGTTGGAAATTTATACTTTGAGTAAAACTCAAAAAGGCATCTCCCATAAGCGTGAGAAAACCTTAGAGTTCTTAAAACTCCAAAGTTTGGTTCAGTCTCGTCTAAGCTACGAGATAGGAACCTTGTTCGGGCACGTGTGTGTGCGACGAGGAGGATCTCGCTCTTGCGGATCTAAATATTTTTTAGGGTCGTGCTCGTGTTCCGATGAAGCACGCTTCAAGGGTAATAAGGTCTTTTCCCTTCTCTCTCTCTCTCTCTCTCTCTCTCTCTCTCTCTCTCTCTCTCTCTCTTATGTGTTTATTGCTTTATTAATTGCATGTTTATTAGTTGTATTAATTATGTATGTGATCCGGGCGTGTTTTGGTTCCGCACGCTAAGGTCTTGCAGATTAGGGGGTGGGGGGAGTGTATTTTAATGTCTAGTACAAATTATCTCTATTGGGGTTTAATCCCACAACCTCATACCTGTGAGATGCTAACTTATTCACTATGACAAGCATTGCTTGCAGTAAATAAATTCACTATTGCTCAAATAAGAAATTGTTTTAGATTTTTTATGAGACTAATATCATGATTCATGACACTACAGAAGTATATACTTATTCTATTTCCCTAATATAGCAACAATTTATTATTTTTGGAAGTTTCACAAATATTGCAATATTTCCTATTTGCACATATTTTGTCTCTTTCTTTTTCCTCATCACACGGGTCCTTATATTTATTCCTCTTTATTTCTCACCTCTATTTAAAATTTGTGTCCTCCTCCTATGTTGCAATATTAGGTGAACGGAAGAAGTATTAAAGTAAATCTAAAGATATCATACTAAGATTGTACTAACACTTGTTTTCATATATCAACTAGTATTTGGGTTTAAGCAATGCCTTGATGCATTTTATGGAGTATACATTTGACTCGCGACTCAATATTTTTAATATTAAATTAATTATCCGAATTGCCATTCACAAGATCTTTTGTTTTAAAAAACGGACATGAAACATAACATACCTTGGTGATAAGTTCATAATGCATCTAGTGTTAAAATTGAAAACAACACGTGTCAAATCTTGCATAGACAATTTTCTCTGGCTTATTAAATGTTTAACCAAACACTTATGAATAGTGTTATGTCAATTATATCCCTTAAAATATCTATCAATATATGTACTCCTACTTATACATGCAAATCACATGTGTGACATTTTCTATCCCTTTTGTTTTTACCATTTTTTTTTTTTTTTTTTTTTTTTTTTTTTTTTTTTTTGCCTTTCCTTCCCTATCTCTTAAAAAGTTTTGAGATAACTCATGTAAATAGTGTTTGAACAATTATACCTTTTAAAACTAAAGTTATGACATAAAATCAAATTGAAAGATATTACAGAACATGACTGGGTATGTGCATGCATCGCGCGCATTAACAACCCTAGTTTTAATATAAGCTGATGACATAAATTAAGAAAGAAATGGTAAAGAATACAACCTGACACGTAAACTTTCTTTATAAAGGATAATGTAGTAATATGTAATCATTTAATGTCAATGTAATATGTCAAGAAGCTAATTACATAATCCATGTGATAAATAATTGAACTAACTATTCATGGGAGTTTTCATATACATAGAAGGGAGAAATATTATTTGTTGACTTGCTCTGATTATTATTACGAAAAATGCTATGCATAGCATATAGGGTCACATATTATGAGCTAAAAATGGGGAATATATATATATATATATATATATATATATATATATATATATATATAGCATTAATTATTTGGATTTGACGTGATTTTGTTATGCATTCCTAAATCAAACCAAATTAGAAAATATATTAAACGTTTATTTTTAGCCCTAAGTGCTACATATAACATTAAATAACCATGTCTAATATAAAAAAAATTTGAATTGTTACTTGTGATGCCTACCTTTTACGAAAGATAGCATTAAATAATCATGTCTAATATTAAAAAAGAAAAAAATAAATAAATAAAAAATAAATAAAATTCAATTTCTTTACTTATAATTAGATTTTGAGGTCAAAGGCCATTGGAGCAAAAAGATTCTATTAAGCTTCTTCATTAAAGCTTATTAAATAATGTTTTTTAAAATGTAAATAAGCATTTTTTGTTGAATTCCCTATGATTGCAAGTTAAAAGTTGGAAAATACCTACAATTAGGCCAAAACATACTTATAATTTTTTAATCTTAGTCATCAATTTTTCCAAAGTTGCCTACCTAGATTGCATATATAATTCAAGAGGTCAGTTATCACTCTACTTTGTGACTTATAAGCATATACATGGTTTCCTATCAATAAAAGGAGAAAAAATGCCGCAAGTTGAATAAATTTACTAAAAAATGACATGTTTTGGGCATAAGTTGAATAATCCGCAAACAAAATCAACTAGACATGACAATCATACTATTCCCTACCTTATTAAAAGAATAATCAAACACTTATTAATAGTTTTATGCCACTTATATCCCTAAAAATGTCTATTTACATATATAAATCCTCATTTATGTAGCGAATCACATGTGTGACATTTTTTCCTTTTTATTTTTCTTATTTTTTTACCACAACACTTATGATAGTGTTATGTCACCTATATCCCTAAACATATCTATTACATATACATCCTCATTTATGCATGCGAATCACATGTGTCATATTTTTTCCTTTTTATTTTTCTTATTTTTTACCACGTGTGGCGTAGCTTTTACACTTTTTTTTTGCCTTTTCTTCCCTACCTTTTAAAAAGTTTGATATAATTCTTATGAACCGTATTTGAACAATTATACAGTTAAAAATGTTTATCTATTTATTTGTCATTATTAGTATTAGTGACTCTTTTACTGAATTCTTAAAATAGTTAAGTTGTGTCATAAAACCAAACTGAAAAGAATTCTCGAAGATGGCTAACTATGCGCGCACATTAGCCACCAAGTATCTGACAAAGTTAAGAGCCATCTTCCACCCCCTATATAAAATTAACTATACATCAAAACCTCTAATCCCTAGACCGACCTAGAAGAAACTCTTACAACGAACAATAGTTATACGGTATCTGAGGATGTATTGGCCTTGCGAGATCTCTTCCTCTTTCGAGGCCTGCTTCTCTTTGTATCACTATCAGTCTTGTCAGCCTGTATCCAACATTCATGTATCAGTGAGAGATAATAGCTTCAATAGCCATGCTAGCAGATTAGTTTGGTCCATGAGTAGCACAAAGGCCAATGGAGGAATTTGAACCTAAGACCTCAGTCTATATCATTAAGCTAAAAAACCTCATTGGCAGGCATGCTAGACAATTTATTGTGCAGTGGTGTTTAATGCTCTCTAGAACATGAGCCTGATTAAACGACTAACACATCCTACTGCTTTAAAAAGAAGCTAAACCATAATAAACGAAGTCTGCTTCCACATGCTAATTGATGCAAAGAGCATAGAACAAAATTGTGGACAAAAAATAAAAACCCTGAGATTTCTTCATTAGGTTCAGCATCTAATGCCTATTTTAAGGTAGCAAGGAGTCTAAGAAATATGGTATAAACAAATGAATAATGAAAGAAAGTTGGGGAAGGAGAACCGCAGGTCAACCCCAGTAATCCTAGAAGACTGCTTACGAGTTCGGTAACTAGTCTGTCACTCTTTTTTTACCTTAAAATCTAGCCACTACCCAGAAAGGTCATACTTACACATATTTGCCACAATTGCCAGACTTGTACCTAAAATGACTTAACTTCAGATTATCAATGGCACCCCATTGGGAAGATAGGTGATGCTAGATCTTGAAATATAGGACTATGAAACATAAACATAAACAAGATCCTTAAAGCACTTGCTAACTGTTTCTGTTCGAATAACAGTGCAAGCAAAACCGTCAGCAGCTTTTCTTCTGTAAGACTTAACTCAGCTTAAATCAATAGCTTTATAAATGTTTGACAAAATGCAAAACTTTAATTAAAACTTCAAAAGAACTCGACAACTCCCAACCCATCCAAAGTCTTCTCTTGACCCTTCTCCCCTCGTTCACAATCCACACCCTGCTAGGAATTAGCATGAACTCAGGCAAGGAAATTTGTAATGGTAGCAATTCGAGTAAGGTTGAGGATAGTTCGTATTGAATTGATCAGGGCAATCACTCAATACACCTTTCTTTAGAGAGGAAAGGAGCTCTCCCACTAAGCAAATGCTTAACAATATTCTTTTCTTCATGCCTTCCCCTTGACCCCAAACTCCTATTAATACCCAAAAATGAAGCAAGCTAACAAACTCTAGAAGCAGCTAGCAAAAGGAATCAAAAATAACAAACTCAGTAACTAACTTATTCATGAATTACTACTTTACCCTCTCCCCAAAACTGATTTCTTAACAACTTTCCTGTCATCAATTGTTAGTATTCTTGGGCCTTCTTGCATAAGTGAAACGGATACTAGGCTTGGGCTGATCCCTTGCACACCCCTAAAACCAGGTAAAAGAGAAAATAACATAACCATCTCCATAACTATACCATTACCAGAATTTCATAGCATTCATTAGTAATTTATAGATAGCAAATGCAGAATCTGAACTGCATTGCTGCACTAAGATGTTCGAAATTTCACAATGTAATAGATAAAAGATAGCTTGAAAGGCTTACATTCCCAGCACTAGGACCCGAACTGCTAATAGTTTTCTTGTTTTTACACGACAGCGGGTTTGGACCCTGCAAGGTTGGGCGGAACAATGGAAGCTTATGAGTTAGATGACCACATAAAACAAAATGATAAAAATACAAATGATGAAACAGGAAGAAATACATCATTATCAAGTGCTTAGAAACTTTAGAATAGCCTTAATCATGAGGGGAAAAAGAAAACAGATATTAGGTATATTCCATTACTCATTAGTCCAAACATCAGTGATGGATACAGGTACATTCAGATTATGTTCTCGACTGACAGAGAAAGAGCTCTTGTTATACAAACCCTAGATCTGAAATAATTTCACTGCAGCACCTTCATAACCACTAAATACGGGTAGAAGGCCATGCTGAAGGTAAGTGTTAGTAAGTTTCCCTCTCTCCTTCCTCTCTCTACTCTATCAATCTCCATCCTGATAATACAAGTCATATTTATCTAAGATGTGTATCCCAGGAATGTCCTGCATCATGCCATATTGTGCCAACAGCCAATATCTAGGAACAAAGTATGAATCAGAGCAATTAAACTCTCAACCTTCGGAAAGGCTACAAAATGACTCAATAGTTTCCATAAATGAGACATGGTATAGCATCGACAAGTGTAATGCTTTGATAACAGTTTTAATACAAGTATATCTAACATGCCCAACACCAATATGTATCATGTGAATTACAAAAAACATGATTCCATATACCACTGTACTTAACAGTTGACGTAACTGTCAAAGTAACATAGCTGCCATTAGGTTCCTAAGTTCCATAGTTCCAGTATATAATTAGGAAGGATAAATCTTTGGTAACCTATACCATAGGACTAATAGACTAATCTTCTATTTGATTTTGGAAACAGGTTCCAGTTGTGCAGATATACTACTCAAAGCTTCGGAACTACATTAAAAACTGTCTACAAACCTTTTCATACATCAATTATACTTTAAGTGTCAATGTTCCTAAAGTAGATCTAGTCTTCATATACGATCAAAGCTAATGAGAAATGGCTCCTTTTACCAACATGTTCGACTACGAGAGAGACTAGGAAGAGGACAGGGAGAGTGGCGCGCACACACACACACACGCACACGCACACACGCACACACACTCACCCACGCACACACACATGCACACGAACACATGCAGTGAGATTAATCAAAAAAAAATACACGTATGTGTTTTCATCAGGTATAACGGACTATAACCTTTGCTCTTTTCTTCTTAAATTGAGCCTTGTCTCTTGCATGAATTGCATCTGTCTTACTAGGCACTCGACTTACTACAGGCTGACCCAGTAAATCCTCATCGTCAGTTCCTTCCTCTGCCGGGTCCTTTAATTCCTTGGTATTTAATATGCCCTTTATTCTCTTTTGTAACAACTTATATTCTGAATCGGTCATATGTAGCCTTTCTTCTTCAGCAGCCTTCACAAATTCACGCTGATATGATGAAAGTTGCTCAAGAAATATAGCATTTCGCAAACCAAACATCACTGGGAGTCCAGGTACCTGTGAAGAATTTAGAACAATGAATTAGTGATATGGCTCCAGTCAGGAACATCTTCATAAACTTAAGATTGTGTTTGGATAACAGTCACAAAAGAAAAAGGGAAGATGGGAAAAGGTAAGCTTACACTTTCCTCTGAACCTATCCAGCATTATAAAGATTTGAATAATTATTGTACTGGTTAAGGACTAAGGCTATGTTCTAACATTCAGCATTGAGCAGTTCGTAACAATAAATTTCGTTTGAATAAATATTGAATTCTCAAGTACCACTATAGAAGGATTAAAAATAATAGATACAAATGCAATAACCAAAGTTACCTTTCGGCATTTATTTCGTAACTCAATGTCTTGTGTAGCGACAAAGAAGTGTTCAGGATTATTTTCTCCAATAACTTCTACTATGCAATTTAAGGCACTTTCCTGTTCACCATGCTCACATCTGCCTAAAAGTCAGGTGTTAAAATATATCAAGGAAAGTCATTGTTTTGATCAAAGTAAATCTGCAAACAAAATTCTTTATGGTAGTATCATAAAAAAAAGTCCATGCAATCATTCAAATTTTTAACAGCCAAAAGACCCCAGCAAAATCTTTAAATATACCAAGCATAAGCCTCTTCAAGCACACAGTGACACACACAGATGACACTAAACATATTTAGCCGTACCCAATCCATCAAAGAGCCTTTTCAAAATATATCAATGTATCTCTGACTGCCTAGTCAGACAGAAACTGCAATAATGTATCATGAAACATCTTACAAGAAAAGTCGGTATACAAAGAATATGGATGCTCTCAGTTTACAATGTATCTCTAACTGCCTAAGTCAGACAGAAACTGCTACTAAGAGCAACAATAAATCATGAAGCAACTTACAAGTAAAATCAGTCTAAAATGAGAGTGTTTGGTTCAAGTAATATAGGTATAAGGTATGAATTTAAAATAGGGAAAACCTTTACCTTGTTTTTGTTTAACAAAATATCAATTTCCAAACACATACCTTAAACACACAAGGTATAGAGTTTAGAAACACAAGGGGGGAAGAGGTGGGGTATATACCTTCAGGTATTAAATAAAAAGAAAATTGTTCATTCCTGAACAAAGACAAACACATAGTATTGCGTATCAGATTTCGATCCATACCACTCTGATCTCATTTCTGATTCCAAACCCAAACCATTTTGTGAAACGAAGGCCCCCTAAAAATGGATGCTCTCACTGCCTAGTTAGACACACTGCTACTAAGAGCAATGTTATATCATAAAACATTTTACGAGAAAAATCAGTCTAAACTGAATATAGGAGGCTTGATCAGTTTATGGGGGTGTTTAATTAGGAGCTTTTTGGATAAAAAAGAGCTGTATGACCATTTCAAAAAGCTATTTGAGGTATTTGGTAAAGGACTGTTTAAAATAGCTTTTTGGATCCAAAAAACCCTTTTTCAAAAAGCTCCTCAAATGCTCCTCATATGAAGAGCTTTTAGCTTTTTGGTCATTGATACATTAAAACAACATATAACTAACAGCTATTTAACAAACACTTACACAAATAATTAATTACAGCTAGTCAAAACAGCTAGTGCAAACAACTAAACCTCTTCGCCTCACCCTTTAGTATTTCGATAATTGTTTAGATAAGTTCAAAACAAGTTCAGATTTCCAGTTTTCAATCAAGGTAATGACAAAACGAGGTGCAAAAAAGAACTAAAAAAGGGTTTCTAAATTAGAGTGAATTCACGTAAGCAACGAAGCCAAGCATGAAGCCTTGATATATTTGAATAACGTAGATCAAAAGGCCTTTCAAAGAAAAAAAAAAATACTGAGCAATTAAAATAGCCGGTGCATGAGACATCAAAGAAGGAAATCACAGAACAAGATGTTCGAGACAATCAAATCACTTAGAAATAGAAGATTTCAACGGATGCAGCTCCACTATCACCTTCCTTCCAAAACTCCCCAAATTTTTTTTTATTATTTTTTTTTTTATTTTTGCATATCGTTTTGGATTTTTTTTACTTTTACCAACAAAAAAATCACGAAATTATTTTTTACCATCAAAACTTTTTAGAGTTATATTTTACTCTTTCCGTTTCATATTAAATGCAACACTTTTCATTTTTGCCCATTTTATAGTAATTGCAACACTACTATCTTTGGCAAGGACCCTCCATTATTTTATAATTTCTCTCTTCCACTAACCCCACTTTTCACAAATATTTTATAATTTCTCTTTCCTACCAACCCTACTTATTCTACTTCTTTATTATTTCTTACTCTTACCAACAATACTTTGTATTATAAAAAAATCCTCTTTTGAGCCCCACCCTATAAATTTTCTTAAACTTTGTAAACACCCTAGTATTGCATTTAATACGAGATGGAGGGAGTACCACCAAAAAAAATTTAAAATTTGTTTTTCACCACCTGCCATCAAGAAAACCGTTAAATCTAACGGTTTAAAAAAAAATTCGATTTTCGTGTCAAAAACATGCTCTTTAGATGTTTTGGGGTCATTTTAGTTCTTTGGATCCGATTTGAGATCAGAATTAACAAAAAAATTATCGTAAATGCCTCGTTTTGCGTGTTTCACGCAAATCAAAGTTTTTTTAGTCGGCAAAATGATGCATTTACAATAATTTTTTGCCAATTCTGACCTCAAATCGGAATAAAGGGCCAAAATGACCTCAAAACCATTAAACAACAAGTCTTTGGCACAATAATCGAAATTTTTTTTAAAATTCCGTTAGATTTTATGATTATTTTTTTTACGGCATGTGGTGAAAAACAATTTTTAGAATTTTTTTTGTTGGTAAAATAAAACTTTAAATTTTGAAAAGTTTTGATGGTATAAAACAATTTCGTGATTTTCTTTTGTGGTAAAATTCAAAATTTCCTATCGTTTTGTACACACGCGATGTTAGCAGCAGATAAAGGAAACACCTCGGTAGAAACCCAAGAAATGCCCGGAAAACAAACAAGAAGTATTCTAGTTGAATTACATATCCTTACATTATAACTACACTACAAATTACATACTCCATACATGATTTCAACATTCTAGGAAGCCACATTACAAAGTAACACAACCCATTTCACAAAATGGAACATTAATTCATACTTCATATGCAAAACCCATCAAAATAGCAAAGTTATGCAAACATTAAAACAAATTCCAACCTAAATAAATCAAAAACTGCTAAAAAAAAAGGAAAAATGAAAAGCAAACCTAGCAAGCTTGTAATCTCTCCGAGCAACACGATATGATTCAACATGTGATTTTCCAAGAGACTTCAACTCTTCAATAACACATTTAATATAAAAAAACAAAAACATACCCATCAAAATTAATGCAAGAAGTTAATAAAAACACTGAAAAACAGAATAATACTAACAATATTGAAGTAGAATTTACTTGGTAGTGAAGAGCTGAACAGAAGCGGCAAGAGTGTTAGAGACGGTAGTTTCAGGAGAAAGATGATTAGAAACAAGGTGATGAACAAAGGTACCGTGGCATAGAACTTTGAATGGTTCTCGAAAACCAAAGCAAGCAGTGTAGAATCTGACGGTTTTTCTGTGACGCTTTTGCTTTTTGAATCTCATTGTATAGGAGTTACAATTGGAGGAGAAAGAGTTTAACAGAGGGTGGCTGGCGCTTGCCGATGCTTGTCGGGGAGAGGAGGATGAGACGAGTTGAGGTTTGTTTTTCAACGAGGTTTTTCGACTTTTCGGAAATCTAAACGTCGCCCTCGAATATCTAACTAATCCCGGCAAAATAAAATATATTTTACAATTTACCTTTATATTAAAAAAAAAAAATAATTACCCCCTCATACATGATTTAACCCCTTCAAACATAATTTACCCACCCTCACTCCCTCTTCTCTCTCTAAACCACCACCACCACCTCCTTTTACCACCCACCACTACCACCACCACCACCTCCTTTAACCTCGAGTTTCTCGATCTACACAGCCGCGGATATAACGAGGAAGGACAAGAAGAAGGCGGTCGTTGGAGACAAGGTTTGTTTTTTTTTTTTCCTGAAATCGAGTTCAAACATTCTGTTTTTTCGAACATCCTAGGCTCAAAAGCCTAGTTCGTTCGAACAGCCGTATGGTTGTACGAAACATCTGGGTGATTGGGATGAAACGCCTAGAAAGTTCGAACAATCGTGCGGTTGTTCGAACGAACTAGACGTTCCTGGGTTTTGAATTTTTTTTTTAATTCGTTTTTCTTAAAAAAAAATTGTTTTTTTTAAATGATTTTTACTGTTGTTGTTGTTTATTATTATTGTTATAATTATTCTTGTAGTTATTATTTAGAGTTTATTATTGTTTTATATTTGTTTGGAAAGAAACAAATTTAAGCATATTAGGTTTGTTTTGATCTAACTGTTTTTGTGAATTTGGGTGCAAAGTTTTGTTTAGAATTATGGTTTGCATTCTTGCAAATGCTGTGATTACTGTATGTTGTGGCAATACAATGTAGGATTATTTAAGTATAAAAGTTAGTCAAGAATGGGTCGTAGCTTGTTAGTTTTATATCAATGCCATTTTAAACTCATTAGATTAAAAAGCACATGTTATTATTATATCTCATTAGTTTTTATTATATCTCATTAGTTTTTATTATTAATGTTAGTTTTATATCTTTTGTTTTCAATTATTTGCATCACCTATTTTGTTTTTATTATTAATATTAAAATTTATTCTAAATTTAGAAGGTAGACGAGGGTTTTGGTCCACGACATGCTAGATCACGCGGTATTAACGCGTTGATTAGGAGAGAAAGGGGGATTAGTATACGGGACGGTAGTTCGGTACCGGAGCGCGACAGGGTAGTGGATGATTCTGGTACTCATTTGGATAAGCGAGAGGGAGCCGGTGGTTGGCCTAATGCTTTATTGAGGACTCCTGATTCGGGTTCGGGTTCGGGTTCGAGGTACGAGGATGATGGACCTGAGGACGATGAAGATGAGGGTGAGGCTGATGCTTAGGAGCAGCCGACTGTCGTGACGAGAGGTCATGATGGGAGATTTACGAGTTCATGACCACCTCGATCTGCAACGTCTTGGCTTGTTCAGGGGCCGATGGATGGTGGGCCCGTGGATCGGAGCATTATTCCTAGTTTCGGGGCTCATGTTGCTCGATATATTTGGGATGGGGAAGATCGACGATTTTTGCGGTGTCAGACTAAAGTTGGTGTGTGTAGAGAGTTGAGTGAATGGCTAGAGCGATTTACGGCTGCCACTACTACGCAGATACGGCAGACTGGGTTGTCGCACCCGCCGAGCATTACGCACGACCACCTTGATTTTCCGTTGATTTCTGCTTTTGTTGAGAGATGGTAGCCAGACACGAACACGTTCCACCTACCTTTTGGTGAGATGACCATTATGTTGCACGACGTACACCACATACTTGGTATTCGGGTTGATGGGGATATGGTTGTTGGTGATCTCCCAAGTGACCAATATTGGACATTGGTAGTTGGGTTGTTATAGTTGACTACGGAGGAGCTACAGGTCAAGACTCAGAACGCCATCTACATGAACGGTGGCGTCCACACTGACTAGATTATTGCTAGGTGTCGTAACGAGGAGTAGCTGGAGGCGGTTCAGGTCATTGGTTACATGTGGGTCCTTTTGGGTAACACGCTCTTTACTGACAAGAGCAGTACCCGTGCTCACCCTTCTATTCTTAGTGAGTTGTGTATGGAGGATAACCTGGAGAGGTTGACAAGATACTCTTGGGGTTCAGCCAAACTAGCGTACTTGTATCGTCAGCTCGGGCATGCCACCCGAAATGGATGTGATTCTATCGCGGGTTGTTTGGCTCTTCTACAGGCTTGGATATACGAGTACTTTCCATGTTTTTTGCCTCACCAAGGTATTTTGACACGAGACTTCCCTCATGCTCATGCAGGGTTATGGGATGTTGGTATGACGCGGAAGCATCAACAGCATCTCGTGTCCTTTCGTACTCGACTTGACCAGCTGGGTGACCATGAGGTATAAATAAATACTTAATTACTATTTGTTTTATATCGCTTTTATTTACAGTTGATTTACACTTGTACTAATTTGTAGGTATGCTGGTTGCCGTACGGAGCTTTTCCTGCACAACAGGTGCCTAGGACTATGTTTACGGGATGTATTCGCTATCGGGGCATCATAGATCCATATATGCTCGATCGAGTTGTTCGACAATTGGGGTTTATACAAGAGATTCCCGGTGACATGATTAGGCCTGATGATGCTCAAAGACCACTTAGTGTGAAGTCTTATAGGGTCAGTTTTTTAGCTCAGATGACCACTCTCATGTGGGATAGATTTGTCCACGATGCTGCTCTACTTGGTGGATATACTAGAATTCCACGTGGCGGACATACTTGTGCACCTAACTACCCAACATGGTTTAGGAGAGTTAGCCATCCTATCACCACTCCTAATGTTGAGGATGATCATGGTCTTCCTCAGAGGACCAACGTTGATTACGTAAGTTTTTTGTTAGTTTTTTTATTTAATTATTTTTTTCCTATTATTACTATTAATACACAGTTATAATGGTTTATGCAGTGGGTAGGGCGATTCATGGTTACGGCACAACGATCACTTAGTGAGTACCCTACGCTATCTAGGGATACCAGAGCAATGTTGGGGCAGGTGATTGCTGTTTGGGATGCAATAAATGGACTTAGAGATTAATTGTAATAATATGTATTTTAGCTTTGACTTTGTTGTTTTATTAGACTATTTTTGGATGTTGTTAGTGGACATTTATGTTTTACACATTTGTTGGGAACTATCAAGTTGACATTTATGTATTAGTTTTTTTATTTTCTAATTACGTAGTACTTCCTTAGTAGATTTTAAAAAGAATTGCTTACAAAAATTAAAAAAAAAAATTAATCATGTTTATTAATAAAGTTATATAAAATTTAATAAAAAACCTTAACAATACTCAATGGTACTCAAGAGATAACAACTAATGTATGCCACAATTTAGGCCTTCTCTCATACCTTTCCTCCCATCCGTCTACACTTACCTGACGAGCGTTAAACCACAATGGTGAAATTGGAGGAAGTGGGGTGGTCACGATCCATATGCAAACGAATGAAATGTGATCCACCAACAGTTCCAATCATGAACTCTGCACTAGGCCTGTCTTAGCGTCCACGATTATTCAACGGTAAAATAGTGGTAGATGGATAGTAGCACGATGGTCTATGTCCTACTCCATAACAAATCACTACCACATTCCATATTATGGCAATAGCAAAAAAAACCTCATATGCTACCATCCAGTGCTCTTGTCAACACGCATCACCATTCTATCTTATCCGGTCTACCTTCCTTTGCAGTCCTGAACCAACCTGTTACCCCATAGGTCGTAGTAAATCATGCTGTATAGCCAAGGTTGAGAACCAACCTTATTTGCGATTTGATGTCGAACCAATCGGCACTCCTCCTGATCTCTGTAACATAAATCTGCTAAGCAACGAAATCCGCAGTTCCCATCTCCAATTACGTCCTTAACACCTACGATGTAAGGCTAAATGATGTTGGGAATTGCGTCTGCATTGTCGTATGTGGAACCCGGTACCTACAAAAAAAAACATAATATGACATATAATTAAGTTATTACACAAAATAAATTAAAATATACGATGTATAAAAACATTATTTAATTATATCGATAATCACCTGTATCAGATGGAGGTGGTCTACTTCTAGATCGATTATCTCGCCCATTACGTTGAACATGCTCGAAAAACAAAGGATCTCGCCTGTTCCTTCTCTCGGGAGGTCGTCCCCTTACTCGGGGGTTAACTCGAGGCTCCTGAAGGTCATCGTAGCTAGGATCCATCTCACCCTCAATCACTCGAGACACATGCCTAAGCATCACAGGGTCGCTCGCAATAACTTGATCAACAAGGGTGTGGAAATGAGCTCGATCCTTATCATTTTCATCAACTATATCAGGAATGTCGACACCCGCTCCAATGACAAGGGTCCTCCAATATGGATGAATGTTCTTCGTATATAACCCCTTCCCTCGAGTCATATATTTGGCACGCACAAGGTAACCCGTGGGTAGTACGTAGAGTACACCCACAACATCGATGGACATCCGTACTCAACCCTCGCATCCTGTTCGTCTCACCGAGAAGAATAGACAGACAATGGTGGGATACCTTTCCGTTCAGCTGATGCAAAGGCTTCTGCTTGTACTTGTGACCATGAGTTGTTCTACATGCCTCCAACCCATTACGAATGGCTATGATCTGGTTCTCAATCGAGCAGTGCACCTGAGCCTAAATTGTGTCTAAAGAACCTGTTGAACTATCAATCCAACATTTCAGTGCCGAATGCTGGCTCTCAACCCTACAATTGTTAACATTGCCGAGGTGCAGCACATGGTTCGTCCAAAACATCACAAACTTCTCCTTGTGTATGAGCCTAGTGTCCACAACATAGTCAATCACTTTCGGCCATCGACCTCACTTGGTTTTCAGCTCTACAAGTTCTCTTTTATACGCCTCTTTAGATGTAGCATTAATCACATGCCTCCACCTCCCATTTTTGAACTTAGCACTAATCTACTTCTTTTTTTCAAACATGGAAGTAACCTTCGCCTCAACATCTTTGTTAATATGTGCCACACACAGCATGTGTCTTGTGTTTGGAAACACGCTCTTCAACGCTACACAAAGGCCAAGCTCCCTATCTGTCAGTAGTACCGACGGCTCTCTATGATGACCGATCAACAACCTCAAGCACTGAAGCACCCACCGATAACTTTCTTCAGACTCCGACCTCATGAATGCGTATCCAACAAGAAAGTGCTGATTAGTCGGTGTAACCCCAACAATCTCAAAGATTGGAATGCCATATCGGTTCGTCTTGTAAGTGGAATCCATACCTATCACGTACGGGTATGTGCATAGCAAATTTGTCATGATCGGGTGTGCCATGAAAGCATGTTGCAACACATTGTTGGTATCAGTCATAACCCAAGTGAGGTATTTGCTCTGTTTGGCCAAATGAAGCACCTGGTGAACCACCTCTCTTCCCTTGAATCGCTCCATTATGATGTTACTTCTGCAGTTGTAGACATGCCTAATGTTTGGATGGTCTCCGGGAAACTTTTCTACAAGAGTTCTCATGATATGCCGAGGCGGCACCTTTGCCTGAGTCATGTCACGCATTACCTGCTTAGAAGTAGGACTAAGGCCGCTGATTTGTCGATCTCCCTCGGGATACACAACCAATGAATGATTGTGAGTGTCGTTCAAGCAACTGAGCTTCCAGCCACTTACTACTCTGACATACTCAACCTTGACTTTGAAGGGACAATTGTTTTCCTTGCTTTTTGTGTCTTTGCGTATCGTGTTCATCATGTCTCTTATTATGCTCTTTTTTCCACGATCACAACTCACATATCGATACGGCCGACCACTCCGATCGGTCTTGTAAGAAGTCTTCACTAACATATATCCGAGCAGGCGACAAACATTTTGTGCCCATAAAACAGCATCCTTAAAACTCGAAAACACAGTGTCTATCAAAAAATGTCCCCTATAGTCCACACCATCACCATCCTCGGACTCAGACTCCTATATAAATATTAATAAAAGTTTAGAACCAACAAACACAGCTTATAATAATAATAATGATAATGATAATAATAATAATAATAATAATAATAATAACAACAACAACAACAACAACAACAACAACAACAACAACAACAACAACAACAACAACACCTAACTAATAATGTTAAAAATTCTAACAACACAACTAATTATAAACAATTTAATTATCTTCAACAATACCCAAAACTTTTTAACCCTATAATAATTCTAATAACAATATTCTAATATTATAATATAATTCTAATAACAACAATAATTTCGAATGCGTGAAATCCATAACAATTAAAGTATGCGTGAAATCCAAAACAATAAAAAAAAAATCAAAACCTTGGCAAACGCCTATTTTTTTCAAAACTTCCTAGCATGTTCAAAAAAACTAGGCGTTTTAGCCTAGGGTTTTTGAAAATCCTAGGCATTTGCCTGGGTTTCGAATTTAAAAAAAATTATCAGCACACATCGAGTCCATGCGGTCCGACGAGCCTTCGGCGAGCAGCATAAGTTGTGTTTCCGGTATTTCGTCGTCGTCCATAAGATCCAATAAATTTGATTTTGCAAAATTTAAAAAATTTGTTTGATTTTGAATATCACGGTGGTTGGTCCGATGATCGTTGGTGGCCGTTGACCACTGGAGAGAACGGTTAAAATTTTTGTGTACGGTAAAAGTGTGAAAATGAAGTAAAGTTAATTATTTAAATAATCGTTATTATAAGGATAAGTACGTAATTTTATGTTAATTTGCTGGTGTTAGCTAGATATTCAAGGGCAATATTTAACAACCCCTTGTTAAATCCTCCCCCCCCCCTCCTTTTTTTCCTTTCTTTTTATTGGCACAAAACTAATTTTTTATAGGTCATTTATGCGAATAATTATTTCTAAAAGTATTTGTTACAAGTTACAAGTAGCTCAAAACACACAAAATGTTCGGGTAACTTTCTACGTTTTATGTCATCCATGGATCTCACATATTTGTTTTCCCTTAACTACCTAGCTTGATTTGACTTGACATAATTGGTGCCGCTTGAAATCTAGGCTCCACCAGGAAGCACCAAGAAAATCAAGCAGTGACCACCTAGTGAAGCCACTTGATTATCTCGACTCCACTAGGGAGCACTGAGAAAATCATGCCGTGCCACTAGTACTACTTTTCTTTTCTTGTTTTTTTTTTCCCCTTTTTATGTTAATTTTTATTGTTTATTTTGAATTTTGCTTAATTGTTTAATTAATTTTTAACATTTAATGTATAATGGTTATTAAATTTAATATTGGTTCATTGCTTGTAAATATTTCAATTTTGTTTTATACTCCGTGAGTAGTTTAATTTCGCTCAAATATCACTAGTAGAAAATGACACAAAGGCACTGGTTCAAAATGACACAAAGGACCGATTTTGAACCGGTGTAGTTGTACTTGATGTTGTTACCATGTGTTAAAGGCAACGGTTCAAAGGCCAAACCGGCCGGTGCCTTTTATATCACTTTAGGGCACTGGTTTGGCCTTTGAACTAGTGCCTTGTATATTTTTTTCATTTTTTTTTGTCTAGCTTATTTTGACAGTCTTGAACTTGTAATTAACTTGCATTAAGCGTTATTATATATGGCAAGGGAACGTGTGTAAGATGGAGGGGCACAAGAGTCCTTTAATTACTAAATGCGAGCATTAGTAAGTTAAGTGAAGACGTTGTTTAGCTCTCCACAAAATTAGGATTCTAAGTAATATAATATGAGAGTATTAAGCGAAAAAGATTTCGTTAGTTTAATAATAAGGCTTTACAAGAAGTACTTATAGCCCAAGGCTTAAAGAAATCAAAAAGTAGAAAATTGACTCCGCAAAAATTTGCACGATTGGGTGCAAGAAGAAATTTGGAACTTGCTCCTTTTGTGAAGACGAATGAGCTAAAAAAACCTTGTTCGCCCGGTCAGTCCAAACAACTCCGCATGGTTGGGTGGGAAAAGGACGTGGGTTATATCCATTTTGCAGTGCATATCAATGCCTCAGCTTGCTCACACTAGGAAATCCCGCTCGGTCGGGCGATTGGGGGGGGGAGGGGGTATGAAAGTAATACTCCTTTGTGCTACTTTGTTGACCTTGCATAATCTAACTGAGCAACTTTACCTAGTCGGGCGACCAAGGAAGCTTGCTCACGAACTTTAATCTCCTGTGGCTTCTTGTAGGCGTCAATCTTAGCATACGTAAATATGCGTGACTAATCATAGGATGGAAGTCTTCACCCAAAAAAAAAAAAAAAAAAATCATAGGATGGAAGTGGTGAATGAATTTGACATTATAACGATAGGGACAAGAGATAAATTAGTAGGGAGTCGTCATGGACTTGATCCATGAAGGTTACACTCCATTCACAATCCATGAGATTGCTAACTTCATCCGATCACGAAACACGATAGGAGGAGTCGGGGATGATGGTATGAAATTGCATCGATCAAGAAGACAATTTCGCCCGTATTGGCCTCTACTCAATTCTTATAACGACATGTATATTTGAAATCCAAAAAAATACAACAAAGATTCAATTTGTTCCAAAACTAGATTATGATAAATTAGTTAAATATTTAATGCACATGAATTACTAAATCGTGATCACTTTATTTAAGCAACAAGATTAATAGGATTCTTAACTGGTCGTTCAAATTATCTTATTAATCTTGATTTTTAATTACAAGTCTTGATTAAACATGCAAGTGATGAACAAAAAAATTAAACATATACGCATAAAAATATTGGAATCAACTTAGCCAAATCTAGACATCAGGTCGTCCTAAATATGATACTAACAACTATTAATAAAATCCTAGGCATAATACTAACAAGATTAATATATATAATGCCTAAACACGATATTAATAATTAGACGACCCTAAACATGATATTAAGCATTGTAACATGTATAATAATCAAACTAATAAAACCATTATTAAACTACGTACTTATTTTGATTGCGTAACCTTACACCTACATATATCATGAATAGAATGTTAGTAAATTTCATTATATTAAAAATCAAAATAAATTAATCAAATCAAATTGAATTAAGGATTTAAACCCTCTTTTTCCCAAATAAAAAAAAAAAAGATTTAAACCCTCATAAATTATTACACATTCACGCCGTGGTCTAAAGATGGAACTTCGAGTGTTGTAAAGGCTCTTCGAACTGCTCGAGGGAGGAATCGTGATTACTTAAGAACTCCTAAGGCTTTATATATAGCTCGTACGTGAATGAAAATCGGTGCCCGGAACGGCGGACCTAGAAAAGGCCTTGATATTAATAGGCCAAGGTGTGGCAAATGGTAGAAAAGTTTGGAAATTATCGCGACACGACAAATATTGTAGTGACATGCAAAACTGTTGCATGATGCAACAAAATTTTGCCCGTCACGTGCGATTTTGGGGTATTTCCGAATCTATGTGGTGAACGCAGGATTTATAGGATAAGCAATGAAAAGAATAGAGACACGTACAACTAATTCTCGCCTGTTTGTCGCAAGTCGGCAAACTGTGTGTGGCGTGAAAACTTGGAATTTCTAGAAGAATTGAATTAGGTCATTATCTTTGAGGAATTTTTATTTGTTTTATAGATCGGAATAGCTGATTTTAATTCGAATTGAATTTATTTCTAAAATATTTTGAATGGGCTCGGATTAAGTTGCTGGTTGAAAATAAATTAATTGGGCTTGGTTAAAAACAAGGAGTAATTATTTATGCCTACATTATACCCCCTCTTAAATGGTACCGTTTAATCCCACTACCCCCACTATTAATTTGCACAGTAACTAGGGGTGTCCATCATAATTTGGATTAAAACCGAAATCCAATCCAATCAAAACCGAATTATCAATTCGGATCGGATTCGAATTTTAAATCGGATTGGATCAGATTGAGATTTTTTGAAAATTCGGATTTTCGGATTGGATCGTATTGGCCCTACTTGGATCCAAATCAAACCGAAAACCAAATTGTAAAATTAAATATTTATGAATCTGCTGCCTTAATGATTTAATTAAGTCGTTGCTGTTGAATGCTACTATAATATTTGGTGATGCATGGTGATGCCTTAGTAGTTTGCTGCTCATATTTGGTGCATGGTGTTAATTGTTTTGATGGTGCTTCCTTGTATCTGTTCTAGCTTAGTATTAATCAATATTGACTTGATGTTGAACAATCATAACTATTTTTAAGACTTGTATTAATATTAAGGCTTGGACAAATGTTATTTTTATAATTGATTTTTTTAAAAAAAAAATTATAGTATTAGACGCTAAACGTATTTTAATTCAGATTTTCGGATTGGATCCAAATAACTGAATTTTAATTCGGATCAGATTGGCTTAGATTGAGAGAGTAATTCGAATCGGATCGGATTGAAAAATTGAAAACCGAATGCTATTTCGGATTGGATTGGATTTAGCCTAAATCCAAACCGAAAACCAAACGGACACCCTTGACAGTAACTACTACCCCCGCATATACATAAAAAAATAAATAAAAATTAAATAAAAAAAAATTACAAAACTATCCTTTGCTTTCATCTTTCTTCAAACTCTCTCCATTTTCTCTCTCATCTAAAGTTTCAAAATCTGAAAACTAAGCCAAAAAATCAATTTTATGTACATTAATTATATACAATGTCGGATCTAAAAGATGAAATTACTCAATTTGTAATACCCAAGATTTTAAAACATGATTTAATACTCTAATCTATATTGTAAGCTTAATTAAATTTTAATCTCTATTTTAACAAGTACGAAAGTTTTAATCTTAAATTTATTTTAAGATTATATTATTCTCGGAAGCTAAATTTATGAAGAAAAGTAATTTATTTTAAAAATTTACTTTGGGTCAAGTAATATTTTTATGTTCTGTTACATGTTTAAAGATTTATATCAAAATCTGTATTTTTACCCGAAAGAGTGAAATTACCAAAATGCCCTTGCTCACACAAAATGACAAAATTGCACTTCTCACACAAGAGGACAAAGCCCACCTCTTAATTTCTTCTTCCTTCACGGTTAAGAATTGAGAAAAATGAGCAAAGTCAGAATTTGCTTCTTTCCCATTTGTTGCTCAATTGTTTCACTAATCTTCACATCTTCTAACAAGTTTATGTTTATCAATCCACATGACAATCTTTCTTCTTCTTTCAAGTTCTAGCAGCAACTCAGCAAGTAAGTTAGTAAGTACAACCATAAAGTTCGACCGCTAAAGAAACACCACCACCGTACCACCACTACAGAAAACACCTCTACCGTCTTTCGTGGTTTTTGTTCTTGCCGAAACCGCATAAGACCAAACTCTTGAAACTTGCTTTCGCGAATACCCAAAGTAAGATTACTTCCCTTGTTTTCCTCTAATATATTGTAACTTCCTTGTTTTGAAAAGTAATTATTTTCATTTTAGTTAATGAATAAGTTGTGTATGATTTCTTTATACCCAAAAGCTACGTAGGGTATTTCTTTTGTTTAGAAATAGAAATATTTGTTTTCTTAACAATGAATAGTAATAGTCGTATCTATTTTCTTAGTTTGGGCTTGCTTTACTTTTAATGCAGTACTTGTTAATTTTGTATAAAAATCAATTTGCATAAGAAATGATGTTACTGTATTCCTTATTATAAATTCTCTAAAATGAGTTTTATTGTTGTCTTCACACTTAAATTATTAAAGTGATTATAGTTTTAATCCTTTTAGTCTACTAAATATGATTAGTAGTAGTACCTATTTTTAAAGTAGTGCTTGTTTTACTCTAAATGAGGTAATACTTGTTTTGTTTACTAAAAGTAAGTTTATATTTGTTTTTATCAAAGGTTTTGAATTGAGAAGTTACTAATGAGTATTTATTATAATTGGGTATATGATCGAATGAGTCGTAGCAATGAAGGTCGATCTAATGACGGAGGCTAAGAGTTCGAATGATGATTATTGGAGAATGAGTGAGATGATTTGATTATGGATGATCCAATGAGGTAATATTTATGTCTAGCAACTGTATTTAGTCTCGTATGAGTGACAATTATGTCTGGTAATTATGAGTGCACGTATGTAATTTTAATGTCATGTTATTGTATCATATGTATGTTCGTATAATATGTTTGACATTTTATGATTTAAAAGCATGTTATGTGCAAAAGACATGATATACGATCCCTTTTAAATAAACGTAAACATAATCTGATATGAAATCATATTTATGGACTAATGCTATTGCTAATATAGGTAGTCCCCTTCAAAATGCATTTATGAATGTATGATTGTCTCATTTCGACGATATGTATATATATGTGTGTGTGTTTCAATCATATGATTTTATATGAATGATTTTGTGAATATACGATGTTTATTAATCTTTGGATCTCATGAAAGTATATTATTAATCTATGAATAAATTATGTAAAAGCTACACAACATAATAAATAAAAGTGAAAGACCTAGTTTGTGTGGCAGTATATGTTATGTTTTGATCATGCAATGCATGTACCCATGGGGCACGGCCCAATTATGTCAAGCACCTGCTCTATGTTATGGGCACCTGCCCATCGCGGAAGACGTTCCGCAATGTCATACTATCCAGCGACTAGCATGTTAATCAAAAGGTTATAAATACATGAATTCTATTAAAGGATTTTATGAGAACTCATAAAGATATTGTATTGATGAGTTCTATGATATAATAAAATGTATGATTGATTGTAAAATGTCTTACCATTTTACAAGATACTATGAATGATTGTTGTTCTTGCTTCTCTTTTAACTTATAAGAAATGTAAACATGATCTGTTATGACTGTGCAATGGCTCTCTCCTGAGGGCACTGGCCCATTCCTGATTGGAGCAATGGCTCCTCCTGACATGTAAGGAGCACTGGCTTCCCCCCTGTAAGGAGCACTAGCTCCCCCCGATAGTAGGAGACCTGTTAAATGTTTAACGAATCTGATGATTTTATTTATTTAAGTGTTATGAATGAATGATTATGAAATGTGCCAATGTACTATGAATTTGTATGAGGTATAAAGTTGTTCGGAAATGATTTAATATGATACGATGCTACTTTTGTCGGCATTGGAAAATGAATTGAACTAGGTAAATGAGTAAGTCATAGGTGGAGGAAAGTATGTTAATGAAATGGGGAACTGTAACCCCACACAAATGAAAGTTATATTATGTCAAAAACCTGTACTTACCGATGGTCCTAAGTAAAGGGAATGATCCTTGCCGACACAAGTTTAAAGATAATGATACTAAATTATTTCTAAGCAATTATGTATATATGATATGTGCTTAAATGATTTTGAAAGAAAAACTGTTTTGCGGGCTAGAGTAATGTTACTGAGTTTTCCACTCATTTTTGGAATTTTTCCTATGTTTTCTCTGTTTTCTATTTATGGATATTTACAGAAATGATGATGACAGAGCTAAGTTAGTCAAAGGTAAAGTGATTTATGGAATTTGTATTATTGAGGAATTATAGAATCAGAGCCAAGAGTTTATGTATTATAGATTATGATTTATCGAGAGACGGATTATTATTTTTATTTCTTGAAGTTGTATTATTATTTTAAGGGAATGTTTATTATTTAGGAGTATGTTTATTTGTGGGCTAATAACTCACAAGAGGTTATGAGATTTATCTATGATTGTTTCTGCTGCGTATGACGAGTTATGTATGGTTTAGTAATGTCAATTAAGGTTACGAGAAGTTGAGGGCGTTACACAATTACTGGAAAAATCACCAAAATAGCTCCGAAACTCGAAATTGTAAGTTTTTTTGTTCATTTTTTGGAATGAAAAATAAATATGAACCCTAACTTTTACTAGTTATTCGAAAAAAAAAATCAAAATTAAATCTGTTGTTGTTCTAAGCATTTGTGCAGTTGAATATCTCTTTGTTGCAAGTGTATGATGAGAGCTTAAAATATAGAATATATTTAACGAAATTTCCATTTTTATAGATGAATTTGTGGTTCTAACTTCTAATAATTTGTATAATTGTATCTCTTTTTTGTTGCTGACTTATGAGTACTTGATGTATCAACATAAGTATTATAATAAAATTTATTATTAGATAAGAAATTGTTGGACACAAAAAATTAAAAACAGAGTTTAATTGTCGCAATTTCCTGGAAATTTTGATCAGTTTCGCATTGATATAGAAATGTAAATTTAGTTCGTAGTGGAAAGTTCTGTTTTATAAATGTTCATTTTCAATTTGATAAATGTTCATTTATATATTAGTAGAAGGTCATTGACATGTTAATAAATGATTAACATAAATGTTCATTTATATAGTAGTACATGGTTCATTCACGTATTAATGTTCATTTTTTATTTATAGTTACTTAGAGTGGAAAATTCTTTTAATGAGTGGTCAATATTATTTTGGTAGATGTTCAATTATATAATAGTTTATGGTCGTTTTGATAAATGATGTTTGGTATGCTTGTTGAATTAATTTTTGGTCTGTAATTAGATTAATTAGATTACAAAATTACTGGACATAAAAAATTAAAAGTAGAGTTTAATTGGCTTAATTTTCTGAATAATTTGTCTTATTTCGTAGGATTATAAAAATATATATTAAGTTCGTAGTGATCTTTTTTTTTTGTGATTTTTTTTTAATCAATGTTCATTTCTATTTTGATAAATATTCATTTATATATTAGAATACGATCATCCACATATTGATAGATCATTAATATAAATGTTCGTTTATATATTAGTACATAGTCATTCACGTATTAATGTTTATTATTCTTTCTCATAGTTTGGAGTGGAATTTTTTTTTGATGAATTTTCATTTTTATTTTGGTAGATGTTCAATCACATATTTGTATATGGTCATTCATATATTAACATACAATTATTAAAATTTTGATAAATTTTGTCATCTTCCTCGAATATTTCATGTTCATTTCAATTTTGAATTTCAATAAATGTCTTTTCTCATATGGGTATATGGGCAATCACACATTGATATATCAAAAGTTTATTTACGTATAAAGTTCATGTTCATCAATCGTTATCTTTCATGGTCACTTTCAAACTAATATATATGTTCATTCATATATTAATAGATGTTCATTTGTATATATAAAAAAAAATTCATTTCCATATTAATAGATGGTCATATCCAAACTAATACGTATTCATTTATATATTAATATATGTTCATTTATTTCCACATCGATCATGTAAATTATTATACTCAACCATTATGCATATTCATATTCATGTGAAAATTGGTTCATTTCAATACTTATTCTTGTTTAGATCCAATAATTTATATATATTTTTTTCAATTAGTTAAAAAAAATCAAGGATATAGATAGTGAGTTAGACCATACAATAGCAAGGAAAAAAGGAAAACGACAAAAAGAAGGAAACCAAGAAGGCATAGATCGGAGTCGCAACCAGGCTAATAACACGAGCTTGAAATTTTCAAATTTGGATTGAGAAGTTTATTGTATTTGATAATATGTGTGGAATTGTATTGTATATTTTAATAATCAATAATTCAATTTTTGCTGATATACGTTTTCATTTTGATTTTATTGAGAAGGAAATGAACATTTTCTTTTTCCTTGCTCGAGTACTACTATAAATCACATCCTTCAAAAGCAAACATATAGACAGTATATATATAATGTTTATACTAGGAAAGTAACATGTTCATAAACAAAAAATTATATTTTTCATAACAACTTGAATTGGTGGTTGAGAGACAAATGTCAATTTTGAACCTTCACTAATTATATTAAAATATTTGACAAACAAGTTATACTTCGTATGTCACAATTTATACAATAGTAGGTCTTGTTTATTAATCATTATCAACATAATAAATGTTCATTTAATTATTACTAAACAGATAAAAGAATACAACATAAGCAATAAAATAAATATCTTGATCAACAAATATGTTGGGTTCGAGAGTGCTTTCACTGGAATCCCTTAAAAATTATATTAAAAACGTTGTTATACCATGATTACATGAAATGTAAAATACCAATTAGAGTAAAAATCAATTGCACAAAAATACCTTCTAGACGCAATATCTTCTACGAAATACAAGAAGTGGTTTTGCACGATTCTTTAATAAAAGAAATGATAATAATTTATATAAATGCTCAACATAATCATACGCCTCTAGAACAAACAAAGTTTTTAATATGTAATGAATTATCTCTTCGTCTCTTACAAAGCCTCTATCTTTTTCAATCTTAAACTCTTTCTCTACTAATTCAAACTTACTTGACTCTTGACAAGAAATGATGTTTTGCTTTGTTATCCACTGCATACATTATAAATGATCAATATATATATGAACACAATAAGCAATAACACATATGATCAACCTTTAAAAGATAAAATGTTCATTTACCAAAAAAACACATGATCAATTACAGAAAATCAAATACATAATATATACTTAAACAAAACTATATACAAAAATGTTCATTTATTATTACATCCTACGCCTCTTACTATTTCCAACTCCAATTCCAAAACCTTTCATAATTAAAAGCATATTCATGATACATTTCAAAAGCTTCTGCTTCAGCTTTAAACTGTTTCCCTGCTAAATCAAACTTACTTGCTTCTTCAAAATCAATATCTATCATCTTTTTTCCCACTGCATAAATTACAAATAAAACATGTTATAAATGAACAAATCTAGTAACAAAATGTTCAACTATAAAAAAGCATTTAATTAATTACAATAAATTAGCCAAATAATATATTTAAAAAAACACAAGTATACATACGAATGATCATTTATGTTTACATAACTGAACATGTTTCTAACACAACAAAGTAAAATATAATAAAATATGCCCATTAATAATAATAAAAATAAATAAATAAAGCATATGAACAATTACAAAACAATGAAAATCAATATAATTCACATGTAAAACATATATATTCAAATACAACTACAACGAACATATAATTTATTACAGAACACAAATATAAAACATAAATGATCTACCATTACATATTTGAGCATCATAATAACTATAAGTGTTCATATATAACACACAAAATTGGCAAAACACAAGCGAATAGTAAACTTAAAACAGTTGTAAGTATTCATGTAAGACGCTCATAACTAGAAAAAAAAAACTATAATATTAAAATTGAAATTAAATAAGAGCAATAATTGGAATAGAACAATCCAATAATAAAATTACAATCAAAACTATGAAATAAGAATAATAACAATATATTAAATCAATAATCAAATTACAACCAAAACTATGAAATCAGAGGATTATATAGTCAAACAATAACCATACAAAAAACAGAATATCATCAAAATTAAAAATGTAAACGAATATGAATTGATTAATTAGCATTAACAATACAAAAATACTCACATTGATCCTTAAAGGAATTGAGTAATCCAATTTCGGGTTCAGAAAAATAGATTCACAATTATGCTCAAATGCAACACATGAACAAAGAGAGGAAAAAAATTGAAAAACGATTTAAAAAAATAAAAATAGGAGAGAGAAAATAAATTCACTAAAAATATAAGAGAGAGAAAACAAAAAGGATAAAAAAAGAGGAGAGAGAAATTAAAAAAAAAAATAGATCTGTTAAATTATTTGTAGAATAGCTTGGGTAGAAAGTATTTAAAAAAAGAAAAAAAGAAAAGGAAAAAAAAAAGAACAAACATGAAAAATGAATGAAGAGAGAAATACATACCCTAGAATCTAGGTAAAAATTTGTAAACAAGGAGAGGTATTTAAAAAGTTTTGGGCTTAAAATGAAATAGCTATCAAGCTAGAACATGAAAATGGATTGGGTGAATAACTAAAAGGAAAATTTGACAGTTAGTATTGGCTGGACTCGCGTCTAGCTAGAGCTGGGTAAGACCAGAAATGAACATTTATTATAAAAAAAAAATGAATATATTCTAACTGAACATATATTACAATTTTGTTCATTATAAAGTCAATATATGTTCATTCTCATATGTTTTATGTTCACTTGTGAATAATTTACTATTGAAGAGTGTATTAATGATGTTCAGGTTAATATTAGTAAAATGTTCATAATAATAAAACTGTATGTTTATTTGTATATCACGTTAATAAAAAAATTATTTATTTATTTCAATTTTCAAAAATATGAAATTAGATGTTCATTTGTATTACGTATGTTTTGTATTTCTCAATAATTACATGTTCATTTTCATACAGTATGATAATCATTCTTATAAAACAAATGTTCATTTTCATGCAGTATGATGTTCATTCTTATAAAATAAATGTTCATTTTCATGCAGTATGATTTCACTTGAAGCTTAAAAAAATGTTGATGAATGAGCAACAACATTATATGTTCATTTTTATTTACAACTGTAATGTTAAATTACATAATATTAGATGTACAATTTTTATTTATTTATTTATTTATTTCAGTTACATAGTCTCTTTATTTTACTCTTATGTTATAAATGTTCATTTTTATACATTGCAATTTTAATTTCAAGTTTTAGATATTTCTTTCTTTTGATTTGGAATTCATTTTTATTAAAAAATAAAGTGTTCATTGTTATTTAACGAATTACTCATCTCAATTTTCTGATATACATTTGTAGTTTTAATGTTACTTTTCAAATATGTTCAATTACTAAACTGAACTGCTATTCGTCGTTCGCAAATTACTGGGTGACGTTCACATTTTTAATTGAAATGACATTTTTGCCCTTGTGGGTAATTTATCTATTTAAGGGTCCACCATGGGTAAATTTAGTTACCGACAACATTAAAAACATTACCGAGCCCACCACTTGTGTTAAAAAAATCCCCAGCTTTAAAAAATCCCGGTTCCACCATTGTACGGTAATCCCGAGGAATTTAAAAATCCCGGGCCAGAAAAGAAAAGTGTACGGAGTGATGTTTTACGATGGACGACGACAACTTTCACACGCCGGAGGGTTCGACGGAAGAATCTGTAAGTATTTCGGAATTTTTTTTTTTTTGTAAATAGGATATCCGCTTGATTTTTCCGGAAATCTGGGGGAGATCCGCCCAAAATTTTCGGATGTCCCCCATAACATCCGGAAATTTCAGGCGGATGTACACATCCGGATGAAATTTCCGGATGTAATTAGGGACATCCGGAAATTTTGGGCGGATCTCCCCCAGATTTCCGGAAAAAACAAGCGGATGTCCTTTTTATTTTTTTTTTGTTTTTTTTTTTACGTAATTGTTATTGTTATTATTATTATTATTATTATTATTATTATTATTATGGTTATTAATATTAGTTTTGTTAATTTTGTAAATTTCTGTTATGATTATGATTATTATTAATATTATTACTACTATTATTATTATTGTTGTTGTTGTTGTTATTATTATTATATTAGTTATTATTTGTTAATGTTACATAGTTATTGTTGTAATTATTATTAGTATTATTATTGTTATTGTTATTATTATTATCATTAGTATTATTATTGTTATTATTATTATCATTAGTATTATTATTTTTATTGTTATTGTTATTATTATTATTATTATTATTATTACTATTAATACTATTAATATTATTATTGTTATTATTGTTATTTTTATTATTATTATGATTATTTGTATTATTATTGTTATTATTATTGTTAAATTTAAAATAGTAATCCTTGCGTGTTTTATTTGTTTGTTTTGTTATTTTGATAGGATTCGGAGGTTGAAGACGACGGCGACGTTGTGAATTACAGTGCACATTTTGTGACAGACACGGTTTTTCTAACGTTTGACGATGCAGTTACATGGGCGGATGTTGTTGCAATAAATCTGGGATTTATTTTGGTGAAATCGTCTTTCAACAAACAGAGGGATGGTCGACCAGTTCGATATTTAAGATGTGAGCGGGGACGCAGGAGTAAGCCGAGAGATCTTGAGAACGCAATTCGGAAGGACACCAAAACCAAGGGCATTGGTTGTCCTTTCTACATCAAGATATGTTACGAGTTCGTCACCAATACTTGGTTTATCCGGGCGAAAGATGATGTAACTGGGACCCACAACCATCCAATGATTGCGTATCCAGAGGGTCATCGTAAAATTAGTGGGTTGAGCCCGAATGCGAAGCAGGATGTGCGTGACATGACGAAGTCTAAGGTTGCACCGCGTAACATCATGGCGACTATTGCGGAGCAATTTCCTGATGATCATCCAAACATCAGACACATCTACAACTGCCGGAATGAATTCAGAAAGGAGATGTCTGATGGGAGAGGAGTTGTTCAGCAATTTCTACATTTGGCGAGACAGAGTCAGTATGTTTACTGGGTCATGTCCGATGATGAAGGCGTTTTACAGCACGCCTTTATGGTGCATCCAGTCATGGTAGACATCCTACGGACGTACCCCTATGTGATCGGTATGGATTCCACTTACAAGACTAACCAATACGGGATGCCGTTCTTTGAGATAGTTAGCGTGACACCGACAAATCAGAATTTTCTTGTCGCTTACGTGTTCATGCGCAACGAGAGCACGGCAAGCTATCAATGGGTTTTGCAGAGCTTGAGAGACGTGATTGGGTATGATAAAGAGCCGTCGGTTTTCTTGACAGACCGTGAGCTTGGGTTATGTGCTGCATTGAGGGAAGTGTTTCCAGGAACCTCGCACTTACTTTGTCGATGGCACATTAACAAAGATGTGGAGGCTCGGGTCACTGCTATGTTCAAAAGCAAGAAAATCGGTGCGTCTTTCAAAAACGGAAAATGGAAACGTATCATGGACGCTGCAACCGAGGAAGATTATGAGGCGGCTGTAGAAAACATGAAAGATAAGTGGGCAAGTTTTCCAACAGTGATACAATATGTAGAGAACACATGGCTTTGTCATAAAACGAAGTTCGTGACATTTTGGACAAACCAAGTTCTACATTATGGCAACACCAGCACTTGCAGAGTTGAGAGCCAACATTCGGCCGTGAAGATGTGGTTTGATTCCTCGACAGGTTTGGTGTTTGCTTATTGTACTTCGTGCATGTACTTTTATTTAGGAATTTCAGTTACAAATCATAACGGTTTTTCTTTGTAATGTGCAGGTTCTTTGGATACCGTATGGGCTCGAGTTCATAGCCACATTGGTAATCAAATCATCGCAATTCGTAATGGTTTGGAGGCTTCTAGGTCGAAGATAGGTCAAAAGTACCGACAGTTGCCACTGTCACGTATAAACAGGAAGGTGTCTCAGCATTGTTTGAAGGTTCTCGATGAGGAGACAAGGAGGATGAGGGAGATGAGTTATCAAGTGCACGAACGATGTGGATGTGCAATGCGTGTGACCCACGGGTTTCCCTGTGCATGCCAGATACATGATTCGCTAGCTGCTGGGACAGGATTGTACATAAGGAAAATTCACCCGTTTTGGAGGACCTTGGTTATTGGTTCTGGAGATGGTGGGACGGTGCATGGCAATGACTCGACCGAGGATGCCGCACATTTTTGTTCTCTGATGGAGGAGGTGTTCGATAGTGATCCTGCTATTCTTCGAAACGTGTCTCGCATCATTTAAGAGGAGCTGCATCCGGATCATTCTGATCTCAAAGAGCCTGCTGTAAACCACCGGGTTCGTGGTCGACCAAGAAACAATGATACAAGACGTGATCGTTCTTATTTTGAACATGTAAACCGCCAACACACTGAACGCGGCGCACGACAAACAGGTACGATTGAGTGTTGTGTTTTTCACATAAATCAGCGTTCACTAAACTATTAACTGAAACCTACATTTGTGCAGGAGATGTAAACGACATTAGCCAAAGCCGTTATCGACACTCGCTTCCAGGGCCGATGTTGCCTTACATCACCGGATGGAAGGATGTCATTGGCGATGGGAACTGTGGGTTTCGTTGTGTGGCCGAGTTCTTCTTTGGTGATCAAGGCCGATGGTATGACGCTCGAGAGACAATAGCGAATGAGGTCCTCGGTTATCAAGCCCTATATGAGAGGATTTATGGGCTTGGAAGACTTGAGATCAATGTGCAGCGTATTCGATGGGACGGTGGGGCGGTTGATTCCCGTCATTGGATGGTTGCAATACAAGATTTATTTCCTATTGCGACTTGGTTCAACGCAGCGGTTACTATTCTTGGTGTAGGCCAAACACCAACTTGCTACTACCCATGCCTCACGATATTGCCGTTGCGGGCAAGAAGGGGGGTCACAGCACCGGAGCGAGAGTTTGTCATCGCTACAGTTGGGGCCTCACATTTTATTTGTATTGAACTTGCACCAGATTCGCCACTTCCCCCGATTGCAGGTTGGTGGACCGAGCACCACGACCCAAGTGTTGACGGTTGGAATTGGCGTTACGAAGCTAGAAGGAACATGTGGGATGCCTTAATTAGATAGTGAACATGTTGTTGTACTTTCATTTATGTTAAACAGTTGTCCTTATGTAATTTGCAACGAATTGAACTTAATTAAACAAAATTTCTACAAAACCACCAAAACAGCTGTTCAATACTTAAAGTACATGACGAATATATAGTACATAAACGAAATGCGTACAAGGGAAATAAAAATAAAAAACAGGACGCTCACAACCCCATCATCGCCCTCCAATCAGCTCGTAGCGCCTCAGCCATTGCTCTTGTATCACGCGATAGGCTCGGATACTCCTCCAGGGTCCTGTTGATGACCTCCATAGACCGACCCATCCACTTCAATAAAAAAAACAACATATTAAATAAATCACAAGTATTTTGTAAAAAAAAAAACATATTAAAAACAACATATTAAAACCAACATATTAAAAAAACAACATATTAAAAACAACATATTAAAATAATAACTTATTAAATTATACCAAAAAATACAACTACTTACGTAATCCGTGTTAGTTCTCTCTGGCAGTGTGCGCCTCTCATGTGATGACGCAACTGGAGAAACACGTGGATGAGAAAATCGGTACACCCACTGCATGTAACCAGGACCGACCGTAGGAGCACCACCACCAAGTCTACTGACGGCACCAACCACGACACTAAAAGACATACCAGGGACAAACCGAGTCCACATCACAGATGTCATCTCTGGCGGAAAGTCAACCCGATACATCTTCAAGTTCGTCGGTCTCTTAGCCTTCTCAGGCCTGATAATGGCTGGTGGAATGCCCTGGACGTATCCAAGTTGCCGAACCACTCGATCAGGCATGTATGGCTCAATGATGCTACGATACTGGATGCAGCCAATGAAAAGAGTAGCAGGCACGCGTCGTGCTGGATCAACTCCGTACGGTAGCCAGTTAACTTCATTGTCAGTCAAATGATCCAGCCTAGCCCGAAAAGCGAGAAGGCGCTCCATGCTCTTGTTAGGGCACCCCGATCCAACATCCCAGGCGGACGCACGAGGAATAGCAAGCTCTCTGGTCAAGGTCCCCTGCTGAGGCCGGAAACACGGAAAGTACTCGTAGATCCACGCCTGCAGAAGCGTAAGGCAGCCAGCGATAGAATCAGCATCTCTTCGTGATGCTGTACCCAACTGCCGGTACATGTATGCAAGCACAGCAGAACCCTAGGAGTACTCACTAATCTGAACATCCTCAACAAACAGCTCGTTGAGGAAGGAAGGATGAGTACGGTTTCCACTCTTGTCCAAAAACAAACAACCGCCGAGTACTAACCACAGGTACGCCCTGTAATGGAAACTGAAGGGCCTCTGTGCCTCCAAGGTCGAATCCACTATTCTCTCAGTCAGGACCCCACTACCCTGCCATACGGTTTTGGTACCGCACTTCTCATTCAGCTCTTCCTCAGTCATATCCAAGGTAACCGAGCACGCATCCCGTAAAACGTCCGTGCTAGGAGTAGTGGAAACCATGGAACCGTCAACACGAGCCCTAGAATATGATACACATCATGCAGCATGATCGTGATCTCCCCAAAAGGCATGTGAAACGTGTTCATGTCTGGCTGCCATCTCTAAACAAAAGCAGAAATTAAGGGCCAGTCAAATCGCCGGAACATGATCCCGGGTAAATGAGATAGACCACTGCCATCAATCGGTTCCAGGTGCTCCTGCGGAAGACGAGCGCGCCAGTTAACCAATTCAGAACACAACTTTGTCCTGCTCAAACACCGCATCACGTTTCGCTCCTGCCCACCCCATATGTAGGCAGACACGTGACCCCCAAAACTAGGAATAACGGTACCATCCTCAGGCCCACCTGGCATCGGCTCCTGCACCACCCATGACTCTGACGAGCTGGTAGAAGCTTGACCTGGTTCACTACTACTAACATATCTCCCATGGTCACCCCTATATACAGTACGGTAATCCTGAGGGTCGTACTGTGCATCTCCAGCAGATTGACTTCCTCGATCTTCATCCTCGTCTGATGAAGGCACTCCAGTAGACGAATACATGGGGGCGCTCCCCTGTGACTGGTGCTCCCCCGACCAAGCACCAGCAGTCCCATACTGCTGCTCATGCTGAAACGGTGCATGTGAAGGTCCTGCACCACCTAACTCCCTCCTAACAGACGCATTCAAACGTCTTGATCTTACATGACGAGGACCAGAACCCTCAATCTGCATTAAATAAATAAGTACAGAATCATATTTCAATAATAATTCATAGTAAAAAAAATCAAATCAAAACTATAATAAATCAAATCAAATAAACAATAATAACAACATTACTAATAATAACAATAATATTATTCTTACAATACTAATACACTACTAACAATAACAACACACTAACACACTACAAATAATTTCAACACAATAACAGACCAAATCAAAACTATAATTAACCACAAAATTGCCAAAATTAAAACGCAACAACTACAACCCAATAAAAAAAACAATTACAATAACAATAACAACAATTTAAGTAAACAACCATAATACATAACAACAACAGCAGCAAAAACCAATACAAACCAAACAAAATTAACATAACAATAACAATACATAGCAACAACAAACTTATTAAAATAAAATCAAGAATTAATGCTAAACTATAATTATTGTAAAACTAAATTAACAAAAATTACATAACAATAACTATTGCAAAACTAAATCAAGAAAAAAATTATTTTAATGCCACAAATGAAGGACACAAATATTTTCAAATTAAAACATGCACCAAATCAACAAAATCGAGGAAAAAAAAATTAACAAAAACATAAATTAAAAAACAAAGGAAAAACAGAAAACAAAAAAAATAAGGGGAAAAACAGAAAAAAAAAAAAAAAAAAAAAAAAAAAAAAAAAAAAAAAAACACAATAAGAGGAAAAAAAACACAAAAACCAAAAAAAAAAAGGGAAAAACAGAAAAAAAAAATAAAAAAAAAAGGAAATAACAGAAAAAAAACACAAAAACCAAAAACCAAAAAAAAATTTGGGAAAAACAGAAAAAAAAAAGAAAAAAAAAGGAAATAACAGAAAAAAAAAAAAAAAAAAACCTGGAAACAACACTTCCGCCCAGAAAATTCGGAAGTCCAGGGGAACTTCCGGAAATTTCAGGCTGAAACCCCACTTCCGCCTGAAATTTCCGGATGTTCCTCTCGACTTCCGGAATTTCTGGGCGGAAGTCCTCTTGTCCAGATTTTTTTTTTTTCAAAATTCAAAATTTTAAAACAAAAAAAAAACTCACCGGCTCGCCGCCGCTAACGCCGCCACCACGACCACCAAACGTCAACCTAATTCTCCGTCGGTCTGCCATTGTCGGATTCAACATTTGATTGCTAGATTTGCTTGAGTTTGAGTAACCTTCAACTATTTTGGTTTTTTTTAAACAAAAAAATTCTGTTTTTTTTTTTCAAAAATTCAGATTTTTTGGAAGGTTTTAGAGAGAGAAAGTGTCAAAGAGTGATTTTGTGAGATGAGAAATGTCTCGTAAAGGCCTAACTTACTTTATCGAGTATTTATATACAGAGGGCAATTTAGGAAATTCATGTAAAAAATGTGACCGTTGATTAGGGGATTTTTATCCACCAATCACCGTCTGACAAGTGGACCAACCAGGTTCCGCCACGTGTCCTTCACGAAGGCCAACAGGAGCTTGCCACGTGTCAGTCACAGATACGTCCTCCACGGACCACTTAAGACACGCCACGTGTCCACCCATGCCAAGTGGGACAACCGGCCATCAAGGCCCATTTCAGTCTAGAGGCCCGATCAGCCCTAGGTTTACCTTAAACCTAGAGAGTTGCACGCTTCCCAAGGCTATAAATACTCGATTAATCCTCATTAATCAAAAAACAACAAAAAAACAACCGAATAATTAAGAGATCAAGCAGAGAAGAACAGACTTATTAACAACCGGCTAATCTCGCTAACGACGCAGATTACCAACACTAAGCACTCTCACCTAGAGAGATCTCATTACTTTACTTTCTGTATTGATTACTCCTTAATCAGGTACTAACTTGACCGTTGGAGGCGGAGCTCTCAGGAGTCTCCGTTATTTTGCAGGTACAGACGTCCGGTTCCAGTCTCGGAATTGTAACTCTCCCGCAGGACATCAGAAAACCCCGAAACATTTGGCGCCGTCTGTGGGGAGAGTACTTCAGAGATGGCATCCAAGTCTGTACCGACTCCAGAAGAGAGGCGTCCCCTAGACGACCCTCAAGTTCAGTCGGACCATGATACCGAAAGTGAATTTGAAGTTGAAACTCATACAGCTCCAGACGGGACCCTAAGGGCCCGCCGTACCCGTCATACTGAAATAAGGGAACGGGAGTATCTTCAAACAGGAAGCGAGCCAGCAGGCGCACCGCTTGCTCGGCAACAGCCGACTGATGGGTCTGCTCCCATCACAAGGAACGAACTCATGACCTTCATGAGGGACTTCAAGGGAGAGATCCAAGAGTTGATCAACAAAAAACCGCCTGCTTCAGTCAAAGAGCAGTCGGCCAAGAAACCTTCCACTTCACTGAGGAGGAAGCCAGTTCAAGGGCGAGAGGCGACTCCCCATCCTAAATCCAAGAAGCGGGAACCGTCTGCTCTTGATTTCACAAAATTCCGTTACCCTACGGGAAATAGGAAACCGGTTCGTCATATTCAGGCGGACGGGTCAAAGCAAACGTTCACAGATGCTCGGCACCTGCTAGAGCAGAAGAAGAGTGACCGATTATCAGAGTCGGCTTCTACTTCAAATTTTCAGGACAGTTTGCGAAACGCCTCGATGAGGCCAACTCAGTCGTACCATGAGAGTCAGTCAGGCGGCACCTCCCGTCAGTCCGACTTTCATAGTGCCCAGGCGGTACCAAACTTACCATTTGTGCCGCAACAACAGTATTTTATGCAGCCACCTCCATTTGGTGGACCTGCAGCAAAAAACGTCCAACCTATGGACTGGCAGCTACGGCTGCTTAGACTTGGTGAACAGCCGTCGGCCTTCTCCAAGGAAATTACTGAAGCCGCTCAGCCGGCCAAAGTAAAAAATGTTTTAGTAGGCGCCTATGATGGCACTACTAACCCGGAAGACCATCTGATGGCATTCACCAACCTGATGTACCTTCAAGGGTTGGATGATCCCACTTGGTGCAAGTGTTTCCCAGCGACTCTCAAGGGAATTGCACAGCAATGGTTCGGCAACCTGCCGACTGGTTGTGTAAACAGCTTCAGGACGCTTGCTTACTTATTTGCCTCCAACTTCGCAATGAACATCCCTGCGAAGAAAACGACCCTTGATTTGGGAACAATTCAGCAGGGTGAAAAGGAGGGGCTTCGTTCCTACATCAGGCGGTTCAACCTGATGAGAATACAGATTCAAGGGTTACCGGATGAGGTAGCTTATACTGACTTTTTTAGAGGTCTCAAAGACGGGTCTACCTTCAAATTTGATTTAGTTCGAAAAAGGGTGGCGACTCTTCAAGAGGCCTTGATTGAAGCAGAAGCCTATATACAGGCGACTGATCTGTGTACGATGAAACAGTCGGACGGGAAGAGGTTCGACAATAGAGAGGGACGACAGAAACAGTCGTCCAACAAGGATGAAAAAAGAAAAGGGGTCTGGGCGGCTGATTCCTCTAAACAGCCGGCCCAGAAAAAGAAAAAAGAATTCAAACCATACTCCCCAAAATATGTGTTTAACAAGGATAACCAGTTTATCCTAAAAGAAATAAAGGGACGGCTCTCAATTGAGAAGCCGCTCCCCATGAAGGGTTCTGCGAGCAACCGGAACCAAGACAAAATCTGTGCTTATCATGATGACATTGGTCATCACACCAATGACTGCATCAGTCTCATGCGGTACCTAGACCGATTGGCTGATCAAGGTGATCTTGACACTTATGTCAAGAAATCTGCGGGAAACACTTCCTCAAAAAAGCAGTCGGCCAAAAAGAATCAGCAGGCCCACAGTTCTGATACAGATGATGCAGTCGTCTACACCATTGCAGGCGGCTTCTCAGGAGGCGGCCCCTCTATTAGGGGCAACAAAGATAATATAAGGCGGTTAGATGTAAATTCCGTTCACCAAGAACGACCGTCCAAATATACATTTCCTGAGATTGTCATCACTGAAGAGGATCTAGGAGGAATAAGGGGGCCGCATGACGACCCTCTCGTTATTGAATGTAAAGTGGCCAACCAGAGAGTTGGTCGAATCCTCATAGATACCGGGAGCTCTTCAGATCTCATCAGCAGCAAATGTCTATCAAAACTGAAATATCAGACGGACTGCATACATCCGGCCTCCCACCCTTTAATAGGGTTTGGGGGAGGAGTCGTCCACCCACTGGGACGAGTAGATCTACCCATCCGCCTGGGCGAAAAAGGGGAAGGACGACACATGGTAGTCCGGTTCCTAGTGGTAGAGGAA